ACCCTTAGGTTGCCTTAGATGGCTTATTGTGCGTGCGGTGCCTATATTGCTTTTTAACAACTCTTCTTATAAAGTTGCCTAGGTTTGCAGCTATGCTGTATATTTATAGCGTTGCTAGCGCTAGGCGCTGCGACGGCTACTATGCTAGCAAGCATAAGTATTATAAGGTAAGTTTTCTTTAGTAGCTATAAGCAGCTTTAGTAACTAATAAAATGTAGGTTTTCCTACTAATAGTTAGCAACTAGGCTAACTTTAAGATAGTACTATATAGCCTTAATAAGAAGCTTTATAGCTAAGGTTTGCCTATAGTGCGCGCGGCACTTGCGTATGCTATAAGTGCTTTTATCGCTACCTTATTATAAGTAGATTAGTAGTAGCAGCCTACGTTGCTAAGGGTATTATTAGCTGCTAACATTATATAAGTAAAGCTTAATCTTTACTAAGGTATTAAGGCTAAGAAGGAGGCTTAAAAGGTAGCCTACTAGGTAAAGGCCTAGTAGGCTTTATTAGCTTAAATACACTTACTATTACTATACACACCCTCTTTATCTTTGCTGCCTAGGCCTATTACTTTAACCTTTTAGCAGCTTTCTTAGCTATTACGCTTAATGCCTAGTAATACTAGTCATACCGCCTTTACTATAGCCTTTAATGCCTTTCTTAAGGTAGTAGCAAAGGTATATATTATAAATAAGGCTTATACTAGGGTAGTAGCTAGTGTAGCGTTGCTTTAAAGGCTTTTTAGATAGTTTTATATAGTCTTTTATAAGGCCTTTTAGTCTACTTAAATTTTATTTTAAGCTCTTACTTATATGTTTTTATCTTTACGCGCTTACTACGCGCATACTGCTTAATTGCTATACATGCATTTTCTATATCTTCTTTTAGTACCTACTAGTTATATTTAGTTAGCTAGCTTATTTAACATACTAAGTATTTAGTTTAGCCAGCCTTATATTTTCTATTTAAGACTACTTCTACTTTTTATTTATTATCTAAGTTTTTTAACACTAGCATTATTAAAGGCGCTTATTCTACGCTTACTTTACTCTTCTAGTGCTTTAATAGCAAGACTAAGAAAACGGTTAATATAGTTAGCTATATTGTTTTAGCAGTGCTAGTTAATATACCTATTTGCTTATAGTCTTAAGGATTTTAAAGGGCTTAATGCGTCTTAGTGCTAACTTTTTATTTTTTAAGTAAAGGTTTTTATAAAAAGGCTTACTAGCTCTTTTACTATAAAGCTTATAAGCTAGTAGCGCATATTATAGTAACGCTTTTAACGCTTTATTATATACTCCTAGTTTGCTACTAACCTTTTCTATATAGCTTCTAGTTTTTTTATAGTTACGCCGCCCTTAAGGCAAGTTTACAAGTCTAGTTTCTAACTATATAGTACTTTAAATAAGCTAATTTTAGTTGTTGCATTAATAGCGTTATTGCAGGTTAGGGTTAGTGTAGGGTTATAGCACTAGTATTAATATAGATTCCTAAAAGGGTCGCGATGTATCTATTTCTTCCTTAGTATACAACACTCCTTCGCCTACACTAGACCCTATTTAGCATCCTACTCCTTACAGTGCATCACGTTATATAACCGCTATATATTACCTTCTTTAACCTTTACAAATAGCCCTAGTAAAATCTCTACACTATAGAAGGTGCGCTATATACTCCTTAATGAGTTAATATATAATGTATTTTATTAGCCACACCGTTTAGATCCTATATAGTGCACCGATACCCCTACTAATAGCATTAGTTGTAATAATACTCTATGCTGTCTTGCTTTTTTCTCTGTTATGCCCCTCCCTCCTATATCTTACGACCGCGTAAGGGCTAAACCTACATTGCAGAAAATGCAAGATTTTACAATAAACTTTATAAGCATACAACAAGCATTTGTAATAAGAACATAGTAGAAAGCTACTACTAGTCGCATTTTCGTAACACCCGTCTTTAATAAGTACTTCATAGGATGCTTTACAATGTGCAGCTTCCCAACGAAACACAAAATTAGGCGCAAGCATACGGAGTAGAAATTTTAACGATGCAAAGATCGTCGTATCCACCCTAGGAGCCAGTACAGTGTTGGATAGAATGGCCGCAATATAGGTCTGAACACTCCGACATTTGTAGCACGGCGAGTGAACCCTGGTCACCGGCAAAGACGGTGATCTTACAGTGAGGGGGCAAAAGAGGGGGAGCCGAGGCGAGCGCAGCAATGACGACGATCTCGGCGTACATTGTGGAATAATTGTGGCTAAAGTTTTTGGATAGATCAAAACTAGAATAGCGAACTAAGCGCCTGTGGAACAAAATGGTAAGAATGACTGAAGAATATTGGAATGGTGCGTTTAGAAAGACAATGATATATAGGACCGGGAAAAAGTAGGAAGACAAGAAAAGAAGGTGAAGATAGAGTGGTGAAGAATGTTCTGTTGCTGTTAAGAAGAGAAGCCCCCCACCCCACCCGGTCTGCAATCCAATGTTGGTGATTAACCGGCATGTTCCCAAAATTCTGTTCTAAGATAAAAGATCAGGGCAGTTGCCTTACTTGTTCACAATAACCCATCCCATCCTAGTTGTCCACCACATAAACTGTAGAGACATACCTCGTCTTAGAAAGATGTGAAACAAGGACTCGCTGCCTAGACTCGTCTAGGCATTTATGTAGGAGCTTGCAACGTTTCGAAACACCCAACAGTATCCGCAGTCGCTATTAAGCTAAGATACGTTGTAGTTGGATGGCTACGTTTAGACGACGATCTAAACACAATTAAAGGGTATAGGTGTTTAGGAGCTAGTTAAGGGTTACCCCTGTTTGTATCTACTAATGAGTCGAATAACAATGAGAATGGTTCCTTTGGCTCGGTCTTGTTTGTGTAGATGACTAACAGCACTATTTCCAGCGGCAAGAGGGCCCTGAAATCTGTGTCCTAGCCAAGACGTACCTCCACGGAGAAGGGCATAGGCTTTAGAGTTAAATATGTCCTAGCGCTTAAGAAGCTATTGGCATTAGCTGTCTGTATTATGTGAGCAGGAAATTTTTTTACATGCCTATCATAGTGTAGGTCTTTGTTTTGTAATATGTTTTGACTATTGCTCAGAACACTATTAACATATACCAAAGTGTGGTATAACGACGATTCGTTAGTGTTATCGAAGATCTCGCCGACCCTAGTCAATTATCACAGCAAGCGGATTGGCAATCTACAAATCTCAATTCAAATACATATGAACACTTGATTTTATTAAACCAAGTCTATAAACATAGCTTTAACTTTTGGGATAATGTCCGTATGTATATATAGTAAGGGATAAATGATGGTAGCTTCAAAGTATATCTGGAGAACTCGAGTTAACAATAAGCATTTATATGTGCATTGTATTATATCCAAAGAGAACTAGAACATCTGTATAAAGTACACAAAGGCGGCAAAGAGTGCCGTACTGACTTCATTCTCATCTACGATGTATGCGAAAGACACTTTTTGCAAAGACGGCAAAGCTTACTTCACTACCGTATGCAGCAGTACTGCCCTGGCCATTGACAGATGATATTGGCACAATGTACGCAATATTTTCGGGGTCCGTTGTCTGACAGAGTCAAGTGTCCATGCACTTTATCGGTCTTAAGTAGCATTTTCTATCCACTAAAGCCAATGTGTTGTTTAGCATACGGCTACGAAGTAGGCTGAAGAGATCCGGGGCATTATATAGACTAAACCACCGTTTTTGTTATGCAAATTGATTGGTTAATTGTTAAAAAGATTTCGTAGGCTAGTAGATATACCTGGACAGTTAGAAGAAAACTTGGAAAATAACACTGTATGCAGTGCCCCTAATAGTACGATACATCGTTGGGTGCCTGAGTATGGCTTTCATATTTCTAATACCTAGTAGGCAGGTCCTGGATACATTGGTTAGAATAAATCTGAGTGCTGTTGTAACCCGCCTTATGGAATTAAATAAATCTCTAACTGTAAAGCCATTTCATTTATACCGAATCGACATGCAATGGTATTGTGCCCTATTACCCAATGCGTGGCTTCCTCCTGACCCAAACCTCTTTTCCTAGACGACTTCGTGAACTAGTCAGAGTTTTCTTCTTTTCCGGCTGCACTCCTACTTTGTTTTCTTCACCACGGTTGGCACGACTAATGGCTGCTGTGTCTTTAGCAACATCTCTCAACTCAACTTCCCAAATTTTCAGGCGATAATTTCCCCTGTCACCTAATCCTGTGAAAATATCGAACGACCAGCCGTGTTTTGGGCAAGTCATTCCGGCGCTGAGAACAATCCCGAAGTCTTCAATATCGAAAACGTGTGCATCAGAAAGCGGGAAAGATGAATGCGGGCATTTCTTCCATTGTCAGCACATATCATAATAATTGACCAGGCAGAGATATTCTCACGTGGTCCACGGCGTGAAACGTTCCCTTATATTGAAAGATAAGGACCTCGCTTTTCAATGTGCTAACATCCTCAATGACAGTACCCGCAATCTTTTCGACGACTGTGGGGCCAGAAACTCCGTATTCTTCTGAAACATGAAATACTTTGCAACCAGACACAGACCCAGCACTTGTGCAATCGCCTGAGCTTGACATAGATTTCACTACACCGGCATCCGTCTCTGTCGGCTGTATGTTGGTAAAGTCCGAACTAAGACCAGCAAAAAACCAAGTGTTGGAAGGCCGCACGGGGTGGCTTGCGGAGCTAAATAGAGAAAGCATTGTGATTAGCCTTGATTATTTTTGAAGCCATATATTCTGATTGCAATGCTGCAAAATCTGGGACGCTACGATGCTGCCGATATGAAGAAAGATAGGTGAATCTCGCCATGCAAATTTTTCTTGTTCCCCGCGATGTGGTCCACTTATTTACGTCCACTTATTTCCGAACATGCCAGCCAATCGTTGCAGGGACGCCCAGCACGCAAGCTTCAATTTCCAGTACGAGTTATTTTCAGCTGTTCGTGTTTTGTAGACACAACATTAATGGTTTCCAAGCTTTGACTTTTGTGACGAGAGCCAAGCATTGGCAATGTCTTCGTGGCGGCAAAATTCAACTTCTGTGCCCCAGTCTTTCAGCCACTTGATCATGCGGTCGGCCATGCCAATGATGTGCGCCATGCCACTAGTATCAGGGTGCATAAGAATGGGGAAAACAAAGTCGGCCGATTCGTCGCTTTCACCAACAGCGCGAGCGTTCTCCCAGAGCCACATAAACTTGTCCTTCCACATCTGCTCCACGACATTCACCGACACGTATCCCATACTGTTTGCGAGATGCGGCAGGTACTGTAGAGGCATCATGTCCTCGTTGTACCACCCGCATGGAATCTCGACCAAGGGGTGGCGGCCTGCTACAAGTGGGCTTGATGTTGCAGCAGCTGGGTCTGCAATCGGAGTCGGCTTCAGCCACGACGAGGCTTCCTTGGTGAAATCGATCTTTTGAATCGGGGGATCCGCGGGAGTCCAGTACGGCTGTGAATCGTGGTGCATCAGAGAGGTGTCGTAAAGGAAGCTGTGTTGACGGAGCAGCTTGACCGTTGTCTCGCGAATCGTGTACATGGGTGCGCGATATCCGCGCGGCTTTTTCCCGCACAGCTTCGTGGCAATCTCGATACATTTGTCAAGAACATCGGACTCCTGCTCCGGTGTCATCTGGGAAATTCCTTCATGCGAGTAGCCGTGCAGTCCAACCTCAGCACCAGACTCCACCACCTTCTGTACGGACGATGGGAAAGTCTCCATTGTGTGCCCGGGAATGAACCAGGTGACCTTATCAGCAATCCCGTTGCTCTTGAGGACGTGGAGCAGACGCAATGCTCCCACAGTGCCAGCAAAGATACCAGAGCTGTAATCGGCCATATTGTTGTCCGGATGACAGCCCGTGCCGAGCCAGTGCGATACAGCATCAAAATCGAACGACAGTGCCACCTTCACGCGCATCGGCTTTGTGGCAATTGGCCTCGGGACAGATATTTCGATCGTTTTCTGTGCTGCCACAGACTTGGTGCTAGATGCCAGGACTTGGCAAGCCTCGTCTTCGAAAACGTCGTACTCACAGTCTGTGGGCATTCCGCCGTTGACTGGAGCCATGTCCTGGGGACAGGCACTCATGACGATGACAAGGTCAGCTTCAGCCTTAAAAACAACGTATTGAGCCTTCTGGCTGGTGGGGGGCCGAATGTCGAGGTCTCCGTGATGATCCACGGCCACATTCATAAACAAATTCAGCGGATCGGGCACCCAGTCATCGGCTATCGCAACCTCGGGAAATTTAGCCTTGAGAATGTTGTGCAAATTGTCCGTGCAATTGTCATGGTAGCCTGTAGCCCCTTGCATGCGATACCGCTCCGTGTCGCAAGCTGACCAGATCATGTCGTGCACACCTCGTGTTGTGTCGTCGACCAACGTCAATATTTGCTTGCGTCGTGTGCTGTAGAGGTGGTCGCCCTTACGTAGCGAAATGGTAAGGAGAATTGTGCGGGAATGCACCATAGACAGAAAGTCGTGGCTGTCCTTCGGATTGAAAGCCCAGAAGTCCACGACTTGCTTTCCATAGGTGTTGACGAGCTTGAGGTACTGGCCTGCACGGATATGAACGGCTTCGGCTTTGCGGGCAGTCAGGATTGCCATTGTGAGCGTCCAGTCGCAGAGCGGTATATAGATTACTCGTTTATCTTTGTAAACCTTTGTTCTAAGCGATATAAGCTCGTCGCAACGCAGTTTTGGAAGATTAGTTACAAAGACATGAAATCCGGTGATGGTTCTGATTTGATTAAGAGAATTGAGATAGCAAGAATATTTAAAATCGGGGGAGCTCCACCGACTTTCCGGTCGTCGGTTCGGCCGTCGGTCCGCCACTACTTCCTTTGCCCGGGTTGCCCTGCCTCGTTTGGGAACTCAGCTCCTGTCGCAGTCGGGCGATAAGCTTGAAATGCGCTGCAACGGGCGATAACAAGGCCGACTGTGGCTTCTACTCCGTGCATATGTTAAGTAATCACAAGTTATGTGACATGTGGGTGGATCCTGATTGGTCAATCAGGGACCCACCCCGTGCAGAGTTTTACTACTCTAGAATAGCTGCATCTCCTCCCCTACTCTCCTTTAATAATACAACCAACACTTATAATAAGTAAGTAAAAGATTTTATAGGTTATAAGCCTAAGAGCATACCCGGTTAACAAAGCATTATTATTTATTTAATTATTATAATACGCCTTTTATAGCATTACTTTTTAGCCCTTTTAGGCTAAATACTAGTTTTCCTGCTTAGTAGGTAAAGCCTTAATTAAATCCTATAAGCTATTAAGAGGCTCCTAGTATATACCTAAGGAATCGTTGCTAAAAGTGTAATAGGTATTGCCTAAGGCACACAATTCACAGCGGGATAAGAGGCAGAATAAAAGGTATAAGGAGGGGTAGAAGTAAGACGAAGTCTTACTTCTTTTAAATTTATTACTAGCAAGCGCTTACAAAATATATATATGCTGCGATAGCGGTCTAGCGTGGCAGAACGCTTTAGGGCGCTCGGCAAAGCTCGCCGAGCGTCATTTCGCTTATTCGCCGTAGGTCGCCGAATCCAGCTTAGCGCCTTTGGCAGGGCTCGGCGATACTTTTTCCTACTACTAGGCAAGACTTGCCGAACGCCCTACTCCGGCCCTGCTAAGCCTTGCGCGGCCTATATATACTTTATTCTATAAGCCTGCCTAAGTTATTGCTAATTTGTGCTAGCATCTTACACTTTAGTTAATCCCTTTATAACTATTCTCCCTCTTAGAGCGCTTATCTTAAGCGCTTTTAGTTTAGTATGTACTTTAGGTGCTTTTACCTAAAGAGGGCCCTTACCTAGCAGTCTTGCTAGACTTGCTAGCTAAGCTATTAGGTGTAAAGTAGCTAACGCTTTATTAGTAAGGCTGTATTCCTTTATTAGCCCTTTTTGCTTTCTTTATTATATATAGTAATATTCTAACGTAAACGTTTATAGCTAGCGTTTTATAAAGACTTCTTTATAGTCTGCCTTATTGCGTAATTGCGTGCGTGCTTTTTTAGTTATATTCGTTCTTTTTTTACGCTAGTTGCTTTAGTAACTATTAGCAAGGCGATTATGCAATATAATAATAAGGTTGCCTTTAGTAGTTTTTGTCTGCCTATAACTTTCTTTTATATATTTACGTCTTTATTTCTTTTTGCGTTATTAATAGTTAAGATATATAGCTATATAAAAAAAACTATAGCACCTTTTTAAAAACGTAAGGCGCTTACTACTAAGGTTTTTAAAGTTAATAAAACTACTATTAAGGTATTAAGTACTATATTGCTTACTACTAATACTTTAGATATTACTAATAATATCTTTTTACGTTATTTATAAGTAGTTAAAAGAGAGTTCCTCTTAGTAACTATAGTCTTTTATACTTAAAATGGCCTTTTACTATATGCTATATATATAGTATAGCTTTACCTTAATATTAAAGTCTTTAACTATATAGTTATACCTATAACTTAAGGTTAGTAGTATACTACTTATATTACTAGCAACGTTACTTACTACTAAGTTTGTTATTCTTTTATTCTTTAAGTACTATTCTATACTAATAAATAGTCTAAACTTTATTAGTAAGATCAAAACAATTACTAACAATAAGTAGTATAATAATAACGCCTAGTAGATTATTTATACTAGCGCTATATATACTACTTAAATTTATACTTTATATATAGATCTAGTTAATATAAGAATAAGTATAGCACCTACTTTAAAAAGATAATAATCTTAAACGCCTAATAAAATTACCTTGCCTAAGCTACTTAAATAGCTTAGATAAAGACTAGTAAGAAATCCTTTATACTAATACTCTTTATAAATAAAAGAATAGAAAAGTTATACTTATTTATTCTACTTTATTAGATAGCTTTATCTTAAAAGAAGCTATAAACTAGAAAGTACTTTACTAGGCTAAAGTATAGCCTAACCTATAACTTACTAAGAAGGAATTTAATATTTACGTTACTTTTAAATTTAGCATATAAACTAAAGGTTAACGCTTTATGTTAAAGCGTTTAATTAAAATAAAAGACTTAATTAGTAATAACCTTACTAGGTAAAAAGTAGAATTGTTTTTATATTTATTATTTAAACTAAAAGTAGGCTCTTATATAATAGTTTTAGTATATTAGATATATCTACTCTTTAGTTATACTTATATAAGTAATTAAAACTGTTTTTTACTAAGCCTTTTAAGTTAAGAGCATTTTAACTCCTTAAACTCTTCTTATAAAAGTTATTAAACTTTTAAAAGAAAGAGTGCTATAAGAAGTCTTTAAAGAAGCTTATAGTGTATAGTAAAATTTATAGTTCTTAGTATAAAAAAAAGATAGTAGCTTACGCTTTATTAATAATGCAATTAACTATAACTAGTATACTTTATAAGATACCTTTATCCTATTAGAAGCGTAAGTGTAACGCCGCCCTAGGAAGGGGACCGACGCAGGCTACGCGCAAGCCGTACGCAGTATGCGCACAGCGTATTAGATGCACATCGTAAACTAGAAGCGGTGCTGGTGGCGCAGGCTGCGTGGCACAGTCTGCGCACAGGCCACAGCACGTGCTAGCGCACAGGCGAAGTAGAAACGGGGTCGCGCCTGTCCTGCGCACTTGGTGCGCCAGAGGTGCGCCTACGATAAAGAGTGCCTCCCGCACTCCCTTAGAGTGCAGAAGGCAAGAATTAGCTATTGAATATACGGCTGCTTCCTCCTGTTAAGAAGATACCTCCTTGCCTGCCTGACTTACCTGGCCTACCCAAGTACACCTTTAACAATTCCTAATTCTTCTACCATTAGGCTACCCGAGTTAGGAGGCAGAAGGAGCAATGGCACCTCGAAAGACCACAAAGCAAACGTCGCACGCACGTAGTGCGCAGGAAGAGAGCTGATCTAGGCCGACGGTCGAGAACCCTCTCAACCCTATCGCCTGATAGCCTGAGATCGATAACTTTACCTCTCTTAGAGGAGGATTATAAGCGACTGGATCTCGACGATGCGGACGAAGGCCCCTATATCGTAGACGATTATGCCTACCCCATACCAGATGGTAGGGGACCTTATTGTTGAAAATGATCGACTGACGCTAGAAAATCGCTTATTGTATCGAATAGTACACCTATAGCTACAGCTTCTAGACCTAAGAGCAACCCGAGCATTAGGAAGGCGCACCCGCTGCGAGGACTCTAACGAAGATAGCTTTTGCAGTTAAGATATTATCATAATAAGAGGCAGCGAACTGACCTTTAAGACACCTAGCAGCTTTTAAGACTCGCGATACTTAGCTATAGGCTAGGAAGCATCACTTCTATCTACTCCTTAATACGTTTAGAAGCCCTAGTTACTACATTACTTAGCTGCGTAATCTATAGAGGAGATATGCTGCACTATATCCGAAACGCGCTCATTAAGATGCCTAGACGGAATATTAGAGAGCGCTTATAGCAACTCGGATGAGCTTAAGGTCTCGACCCTAACCCTTATGCCCAATCCTTATGACATAACTTTTATTCGTACTATAGAAATCGTAAAGCTTTATTAGAGATTAAGGCAGACTTCCTAATACTTTTATAACTATCATTGTCTTCTTTTAAAACTATTTACATATTAAATTTAAAAAGGAACTAAGCCAAATTGCTTTTTTCATAGGTACTCTTATAATTAAAAGAAAAAAACTGTTAAAATTATTTAAAACCCATTAGACTTAGGTATAACAAAGGGCTTAAAGGAATTCCCTGTTTTTCCACCCTAAAATAATCGGGGAGCGTTCGGTAACCCCCCGTAAAAATACCCGGCGCCGGGGAAAAAAAGGGGTTTAAAAAATTAAGGGGGCTGTTTAAGGCCGCCCCTTTTCCAAAAACCAAAAATTTTTAAAAAAAACTCTCGAAAGATTTCCTTCCTTTATAGTAATGGGTTTTAGAAGTGTTTAAAGGCTCAAAGATACAAAAAAAAAAAAGGGGTAAAAAAACCATCTTTTTCCTCTCCTGCGCGCGCATATCCCAACGTGTGGCTTCCCCT